TTTTTTTTTTTTTTCCTGTTCCTGGAATTTAACAAGCTTGTTATCTCTTCCAAGTCTTTATCTTTGCCATTTTCTCTCTTGAAAGTCTTTGTAGGTCATCACAGGACTTGTCTCTCTTCATTCAGGTCTCAGGTCATCTCTTCAAAGAATTTACCCTGACCCTGTTAACTAAAGTAGCACCCCAACTCTACTTTTCATACTGTTTTCATTCATTTGACTGATCACTGTCTTAATGTGGATGTACTGGTTCATTTCTATCTTCAACCCTAGAATCTAAAGTCTTTCAGAACAGCAGATTTCTGTCTTGTTCATCAGTATATTTTTGCAACTATAATACTATCCAACACATAGTGGACACTCAAAAAGTAATTTTTAATGGAACTGAGTAGGTATCCAAAGGAACAAATTTAATGATAAAAACAATCTGATCTCAATGGAAATGGGGTAAAATATAAGGCTGAGGATGGCCTTGGCAAGTTCCCTCAATCACACTGAGCTTTCACATCCCATGGGACAGCGCAGTCTTCCTTTACAAACTACCTCAATCAATGAGACTCTTAGGCCAGTCTGAATCCTTTGTTATCAAAGAACAGTGTATGAGAACCTTCAAGCTTGGGAGTAGAACATGAGCGTTTTTTTCTTTTTTTCTCTCAACCACCACACTCCCAATTATAATAAATGAATAAAGTAGATTGAAGCTAAGAAAAAATAGAGCAAAATTAGAAGCTGGCATAAAGCAAACCTACTGCCTGGGGCAGCCTGGGGCTGATGGATGATGACAGCTAGCAGACAAATCCTGTTCCCCTTTCTAAATTCTGTCTACTAAACAAATTAGCAAGCTCATCAATATCTGCACGGCATTTACCTTCTGCAGAAACAGCTGCTGCAAAATCAAGATGCTGACTCTAAAGGTTGTGGTCTTGCCAATGGGACAAAATTACAAGCCAATAAGGGCCAGAGATAACAAAATGACAACCTGATATCACAGAGAAGGGTTTTGTAGAGGCTTGGAGGATAGACTGCATTAGGATCACCTGTACAGCACCTGTGAGTCTCTAACCAGTCTCCCAAAAACTAGGCATTTTAATGAGGAGATGTGTAATTGATTCTTGAACTACTGATTTTCTTATACTACTAATTTACTACTTAAATATGATGATAAAATCATTAAATGATTAAGCAGAAAGATGTAAGATATATAATCCTATATGAGAGTTATGATTCAAAACATGGTCTTTTTCAGAAAAATTAGTGCTCAGTTCAGAAATTTTATTTTTAAATGGCAAAACTCTTCTTTAAAAATATTATGTTATGACATCATCTTCAATTTTAGCCAAAATAAACATTGTTCCTTGCACAGTAGGGTGACTACAGATAACAATAATGTACTATACATTTTGAAAGACTAGTAGAAAGGATTTCAAAAGTTTTTGCCATAAAGAAATGATAAATGTTTGGGAGATAAGTATGTTCAACAAGATTTAAACACTATGCAATGTGTACATATATAAAAATATTGTATTATATGCCATTAATACAATTTTCATGTTTTTATGTAAAACACAAAAGAAAGTTTTAAAACAAAATAATGAAAAAGCCTCCCCATCCAATCTTCAAAGAAAATAAAATCAAATGCAACATGTACAACAAGCACAGTATATATTTCCTAAAACATTACAACAAAAGGATTTATATATTAATTTTACAGGTAGTGGTTTATATGCAGTTACATGAAGATAAAGATGGTAAAATGTTCTTAAAACATCCTGCATTGGAAAAACATAAAGCTATGAATGGCTCCACAGTACACAACAGTCTCGAAGTGAGACCAGATCACATCATTAATTGATGAAGGGAAAGGTGACTAAAAGAACATGGATGAGACTTCACAGACTGCCAGTCTATTTTCAGGCATTTTTTTCATTAAAACCATGAAATTCTTCATCATATACAACAAGAGAAACTTTGCATCTCTGGCCGGTCACGGCCCCTCCATACTAAAAGGCAATAGAGCAACAGGGAAATCCCCAGAGACGGCACAGCTGATCTCACCCAGGAAAGAAAAAGATGGGACCATCAAGAGCCTTGCTGGTACCTGACGAAGAGTTTCTCAATAGCCTTTAGCAACTCCTGTGGATTCCAGTCCTCAGACACAGGCCGCCTCCCAAGCCTAAGTTGTTCAGGGGTCACAATACCACTGCTGTTGCTCTTCCCCACTGACACAAACCAAGACAGAGACAGTGCTGGCTACTACTAGGAATAGCTGTCAAAGTCTCTGTTGCTTGAAAGAGTTCTCCCAGGACAGGTTGTCTTCTGCTCTAAGCATTTGGTCTCTATGTTATTAAGGTATTTACCAATTTTTACAGTTAATATTTATACAACTGTCTGCATCCCCACTATATTGTGAATAAATGTGTTTAATTCTTTTGGAAGCACACCTAGAATGAGAGGGTTGACCAATGTTCAATATGTGGTAAGGAAAAAGGCCTTTTGTTCTCTCTTCTCTTCTTCACATTTCACTTGTCAAAATGAAAATGAAAATACACCAGAAAGGTGTTATTCAGAACAACAAAAATGGTATTTTTTTCACTATCATAATAATTTTATTGGCTTTCTACAGGAAGTATACTTTCTCTTATTTTTCAAATTAACATACACCTTTTCCCTAAATGGTGGGCTTCAAGAGGCCAATGACAATTTTCTCTCCCCTAACATAATGGTGATGAGTTCACAGGTTCTCAGTAAGTGGCTGCTGATTAGTGAGCATTCTAGAAACGCCAGCTACATATTGATGATTATTCCATTTTTTTCCTTGCCATCACACATTATATTCTTCTTAGGGGGGAAAAAAACCTTGTATGAAATGATGCCATGAAGATGGGCTTATCTAAGTGTACCAGGGAATTTGCAGAAACCCAAAGCTTCTAGAATGATGAGACCTTGATGATGCTTATCATCTGCCTTTATGGCTCATAACTTGGAAAAAACATGTGGAAGGAACTCCTCTCCTTAGGAGGAACCTAATTCAATACCACCACTAAGGGTGAGAGGGAGAGAGAGAGAGAGAGAGAGAGAGAGAGAGAGAGAGAGAGAGAAATCCAAGGCATCGTTAGATCTGTCTGCATTCTTCAATGGCATTTGTTTCCTGCCCAACCAGCAGCCATGTCGTATTTCTCCCATCACACAGGATGCACAACTATCCCATTACAGAGGTCATACTCTTGTAGGTGGAATCATCCTCCCCAAAGCTCTAATAGTAACCCTGGCTGTCTTAAACCAAACTTCAGAGGTATTCACTCAGGGGCAGAGCATGGAGGACAAGGACAGATGACATGGCTCTGTATAAAGAAGATACACCATTTTGCTAACGCTCCTAGAACTTTAGAGCCCAGAAGCCACAAATCAATGTCTGATGTAAGCCTTCTAGAAGGCTCAACCAAGGGAAATTTGAGGAGAAGGACCATTTTAGAAATGAGATCATCTGTGGCAATTTGAAGAAAACTGAAGAAATAACGGACCAAAAATAAATATTTTTTTCTCTATTGATCACTGATTCGCTATGTGGCTTCCAACATATGAGTTAGTTCTGTGTGTCTTACTTTCCTACATGAAGCTAGAGGAAACTGCAAAGTTCTACTAATGAGCAATAATTCTAACAGGATTAAGTTAAATATTTCCAAATGTGATTTGTAAACTCCTCAGAGAGTGCTAGTATTGTGAAAATATTGCTATAGCAATCCTCCTCGCAGAAACAAACCATCAATAATGCATATTCAGGATTGGTATCTGCCTCCATAACTAGTCTAGCCTCCTGGAAATAAGTAATTTGTATTATTTTTGTGGTCCCTGAGAAGCTAGTGCCTTGTCAAAGCCCTGCTTCCAACGTTCCAGAGTTCTCTAGCTGAAAATCACTTTCAATCCAGGATTTCCTGGGTATTGCCAGCAGTAGCATCAAATTCTTCAGTTCAAGGGTCACATCTTGTTTGACACTCCCCTGACATCTTGGGCTGGCCTGCACTCCTAGAATGGAATGCCCCCTTTATCTCTAAGATGCGCTGGAGTCTGGGGAGAGAAGTTATTGGTTTTGCAATTGCTGGAAAGATTCAAATAATTGCAGCTAGGGATCCATCCTCTTGTGTCACAGAAGTTGAAAAATGGGTCAGACATAATGCATTTGGTTAAGTGTCTAAACTGAAAAGGTGCTATTTTATTTTAAATGGCATAGTCTTTACAAAGGCTGAGGTTACTGGTACAATGCTCTCTCATTTTAAAACGTATCAGAGACATGCCCTTTGAGGGTCAGGCTTTCATTTGCTGATGTTAATTCTCAGCTGCCTGCTCCTCGTCCTTCATTGTACCCTGTGTCTTAGCTGGGCACGCTCCTGATTCCCTGCTATATCCAGACGGTCCATGTAAATAGTGTTTATGTTAAGGAAGTCATGTTCAGTGTGACTGGAGCACACAGAAACTGATGTTGTTGTCACTTTAGATTAAGCTCTTATTTTAGTAAAGGAGGCAATTGGAGCAGGCAGCTGAGTGGCTGAATGAAATATTCAGCTCATTTCATTTAGAGCTGCCCAGTTTCCATTGTTCATGCTGGCAAGGCTGTTTAACCCTGTTGGAGCCAGTGCAGCAGCAGCGCCTGCCCACTCCTGCACCCATGCAAGGCCTGCTTCCAGCTGACAACGCTAAAGCCATCCATCAACTTACCTACAAGTGGTCAGGTGAATCACGTGGGAACACTTTGCCCGGATGTATTTTTGTGATGTCTTGTCCTTGTGTGAACCTAAATGGACAAAAAGAAGAGGGTGTGTGTGTGTGTGTGTGTGTGTGTGTGTGCGCACGCACACATGTGCACAATATGCCTAAATGTCCAGGTATAACTAGAAACTGAGTGAGCACAAAGATGTTTAGGACAGAGTGGTTTTGTGATGGCAACAACTGCAAATGGTAAAATATAAACTATGTCTACCACAGGAAGATGTTGGATTTCATTCCTTGCAAACGTTTAAGTATCTCTCTGTAACCAGCACTTATTGATGGTCATCGTCCCACAGCAAACACACTGAAGATTAGTTAGAGAAGTTTGCCTTCACAACTCAGCACACAGAAAGGCCCGCGCATGTACAAAGCCTTTATAATTCTTTTCCACCTTCTCGACTGTGCCACTGTCTAATTATGTCTTGGTCACTTTTCAGAAATAGAAGAATCTGTTTAGAGAGACTCCTGTAGCATTCTATCATAATCTGATATGATCAAAAATTTTTCTGACTCCTAATGTTTGCTTTTCCTCCCTCACTTCTTCCCTTCCTTTCTCTTCATTTCTTCCTTCTCTTTCTGCTTCCTTTCTTTTCTTTTTATTCTTTCCTTCCTTCTTTTTTTCTTGACAAGTCAAACCAGAAAAGATGACTAAAGAAACAATAGCATCTTATTTCCATATTCCAGATCCCTAATTCAATGAAAAATTCTAATAGTTTTTTCAACAATGATGATTAATTTTGTCACCTCAAGACCCTGAAAAGGTAGAAATTCTTCTTAGCAACAATTTCCAGATGTTATTTAATATCTACATAAAGTAAAAATAATCCCTGAATAGTAACTACGAGTTTTATGAAGATGTACTCAACCCCAAACATAATGAATGGTAAACATTTGCCTGGCTCTTTGCTAGACTAAAAATGACCCTTACCTTCCTGATACCTAAAAATTTAATAAGTATTTATTGTGTGGATCCAAATTTTATGAGGATCCAAAGGTTATGCAGTCTTAGACAGGGAATACAAATTATACACATAACTTTAAAGTGAAAGCTAATACTTGTTTGCCATGCAAAGAATTCCGATACACTTTAAAATGCTGAGACATGTCACAGGCATCAGTTAGGTGGAGAAAAAGCCCATAATATTCATATTGACTAGTATCCTGACCACGCAACTTTTCCCCCTGTAGTTGTCAGCCTCATATCCTTTGCCTCTTTGACATCATGTTTTGGGTTTTTTTTGTTGTTGTTTTTATTAAGTTTATTGGTACATTCTAGTTATACAGTACAGTTACATTCATCATTGGGATCTTGTACCTTTACATGACAGGTCTTGGTTCTCATTTTTCCCCTTGTCCCTGCCCTCCCTTAACATCACATTTTATAGAGCAGAAAAAATAACTGTTCTTCTATTTTGGATGTTTAATCAAAACTCAACTACTCATAATTGAAAAAATGCAAAGAAAACATGCAAGTGTATATACAAAGTACTTACGTTTGGATTACTGCTCCATGTGCATGCCCTAAAAGTGCAGGCATTTTGAGAAATTCTATTTGTGTAATATTCAGCAAAGAAGAAAAAAATACATGATGCACTGAACACAGCAGAAAACTTCGGCGTTGACTGGGCACTTATAAAACCATACCCTCTAACTCATTAACAATGCACATCTATTAGCTGGACAGATTTTGCACACAGTAGCTTCCAGAAGTGTATGTTTCAAACTTCATTTCTCCCCCCACCACTTCATGCATGATGTGCAGTGCTACAGGATATGTTCACAAGACACTATGACCACTGGCTCCAAATCTGTGTGTCACAATGCTCCACTGCAGTGGCAAGATTCACAGTTACCAACAGCATCACTGTACACAGACGTGTGTGCAAACAACACATTTATAACCCACCTAATTTAATATTACTATTCCCCAATTTAACGTTCCCTTTGGTGGGCCTTTCCCCATCTAAAGATAGCCCTGGCCTTTATGATGTTACCCCAAAAGAGAATGTAAAGAAAATGTAGTTGAAGTAAAGAAAGCATAGTGAAGTGGAATCAGCAGTCTTAAATGACTTCACTTAAAATACATGAAATTTTAATTTTTACAAAAAAAGTGACCATCTGAACACATGGGTCTAGAACTTTTCCCTAGATCTGGGAAAGGACTCATAGGTATGATGGGCCCGGAGCGTTTGTGTCACATAAACAACAAATGATGATGCAACAGTTTATTCCTTGTCTAGATGAGCAAATTTTCTAACAATACATATCAGGTATTTGTGAACAGTTGTGATTATAAATAGCAACTAATGGAATTTTATTTCAAGACTGCTATAATTTGGATCTGGAATGCCCCCAAAGCTCATGTGGCAGAGGCTTATTTTGCACTTTGGCACCACTGGGAGGTGGTGGATATTTTAAGCAATGGGACTGAGTGGAAGACTTGAGGTCACTAAAGGCAAGGCCTTGAAGGAAACTGTGGGAACTTGGTCTCTCTCTTCTTTCTCTCTCTCTTTTTAACTTTCTGGCCATGAAGTGAGACGCTTCACTTCAACCACATGTTCCAGCCTTGATGTACAGGTGCAGAGCAAAAGGGCCAATTAGTCATGGGCTGGAACACCCAAAAGTATGAACCAAAATAAACTTGTTTTTTCTTTCTAAGGTATTTATCTCAGATATTTAGCATCATAACAGGAAGCTAACACAAAGACATAGAGTCTAACTGTCAATTCTCAGTAAGTGCAAAACTCAGTGGAAAATATAAAAGAATGGTGCTTAGAGCAAATTTTATTCTTGGAGTTATAAAACAGTACATATGTCCTAAAAATGCAAAGATTTTCCACATCTAAAGTATAAAGACTATGTGAAATTCAACAAATTTTACTAATGTCATATACTTCAACAGTTAAGAAAGGATAATGGTTAAGAAAAGTACACATACAAATGTGTGGTCAACTTGAAATGGCGCTGTCAGGAAGGCTACAGTAGTATGAATTAGAAACACTATTTTCCAAAGAATTTAGAGAAATAAGGGAAGAAAACAATTTCAAAATTAATTGATGGAATTTTACTTTTTAGGATGCAACTTAATGACATATCATTTCTTAAAAAATACAGTATAGCCTATGTTGTTATATGCAAATATATATGTATTATATATGATATTTTTCTGTTAAACAAAATATTAAAACAAAATCTACATGCTAATTATGTAAGAAAAGTTTGCCATATTATTTGAAATAAGGGTCGGGCGTGGTGGTGCACACCTATAATCCCAGCACTCAGAAGGCTGAGGTAGAAGAATTGCCTCGCATTCCAGGAGAGCCTGGGCTACATAGAGAGCTCAAGGTCAGCCTGAACTAGAGACCCTGTCTCAAAAACAAAACAAACAAACAACAAAAAAAAGTAGAATTCATTCTATTTCAGCTATGTGTAATTATACCTTTTTATACTCATCTTGATTAAAAGGAAAAACAAACTTTCAATGTAATCATTAATCTTATGAAGTCCAATCAATAATATACTACATTCATGAAAGTAGCTGAACTTATTCAAGTCTTAATAGGCTTTTCTATCTATTTATTAAGAGTTTAAAGGAGGAAAAGTTCTTAAACTTGAGAATCAAATCCTAGCTTAAACTATCAAGATAGTTTCTGACACAGGTGAAATTATTTATTAGCTTTGTAAAAGTTTCATACATTTCCATTTTGTGTCTTGTCTTTCTTCCTTTTTTTTTAAACATGGGAATAAAAGTGATATGTGAATTATTTAAAAAGTTAAAATACCAAACTGTGAGAGGGAGGCCAGGGGAAGAATTAAGACTTGGGAAAGTTTCTGACTACAGCAAAGATGCAACAAAAGCTCCCCAAGCCCTCCAAGTCAGCAGAAGTTAATCAACTGTTCATAGGCAATTTGAAGTCAGCAAGAGAGAACATTCAAAATCATTCCAGTACATACAACCAACAAAGCAAACCTGGACCTGCAACACCTGATTTCCAGTTTCACTTCTTGAGTCCATCTAAACTCACAAAATGTTTCCGCGTACTGACAGTGTGGTTGGGCAGATCCTAATTTTTGTTAACAATGTTCGATTACCAGTCTCACCCCGATCCATTGCACCACATTTTATATGCAAGGACAGAGATGCATTATGATGAAAGGTTTTTCAAAGTATAAATTGCCAAATAAATGAAGCTTATGATAAAACAAAATACTTTATCATAAGTGCCCCCCAAAGATTCATGTGGAAAAGGCTTGGTATCCAGTATGGCACTATTTGGAGGCAGTCTTAGGTCACCAGAGGCATGCCCTCAAAGCCTATCATGGAACCCCCAGCCCCTTCCTCTTTTTTGATTCCTGGCCACAAGGTAAGTGAGTTTTTTCCACCATGATATGGGTCCTGCAGCCACAGACCTAAAAGCAGTATACTCACCAGATTAAGATCTAAAATTGACAGTGAAAGTAATCCTTTTTTCTTCATCAATTCATTAACTTAATTACTTGCTATAGTGATGGAAGGCTGACTACTGCAGAAGCCTAACTGGTAAATAATTTATAAAAACTATTGCCTAAAACAAGAGGTGGCACAATATGGCCCTGTTCATCCCCTGCAAAATAAGAGTGGTTTCTAACAGAGGAACAGTTACAATCAATTTGATAACAGATACTTTAACTTTGCATCTCCCATTAAGTGAAAGGTACCCATCCCCTCAGAATCAGTTTTTCTCATTAGTAAACTTTTAGCATGAAAATCGACTCAATTATTACAACATTTTGAACTATGCCAATAAAATTTATATGGATTACATCTCTTTCTTAAAGTATTATACATGTTTTCAATTTTGCCTCTGGCCTATAAAGCCTAAAACATTGTCTCCTTAGTCCTTTTCAGAAAAAGTTTGCTGATGCCTGCTCTAAAATAATCTAGTATTCAAAAACAGCCTTGGGCTGGGGATTTAGCTCAGTGGTTCCGCCGTCTGCCTCACAAGCTCAAAGTCTAGAGTTCGATCCCCAGTAACCCCCCAAAAA